GGGAAATGCTTAACCAAAGAACATATATGCATAACTGGTGGACACAGACAATAGTATGGGGAAGGCGCCTGGGGAGGGGTGGGGGTTGGGTGGAGAGGGGCAAAAAGAGAGAAAATGGGAGACATCTAATATTGTCAACAATTTTTAAAGAATAAATTTTTAAAAAGCAGCGAGGTATCCACTTCACCAATACTTCCTATTCATTCTTTTTAAAATATATATATTTTTATATGTTTCTATTGATTTTAGAGAGTTCAGGAAAGGAGAGGGAGAGAGAGAGAAACATCAATGATGAGTCATTGATTGGCTCCTACACATCCCCTACTGGGGATCGGGCCAAAACCCAGGCATGTGCCCTGACCAGGAATCTAAGTGACCCACAGGTCAGTGCTCAACCACTGAGCCATGCCAGCTGGGCTTCCTATTGATTCTTAAGGATTTATTTCAATTAATACCTCTTGAAATACAGTAGGGGGCTAATTATAATTGTCTTGGTGATGAGAAAATGGGTTTTTAAATTTTTTTTTTTTTATTAAACTTATTGGGGTAACGTTGGTTAATAACATTATATAATTTTCAGGTGTACAAGATTCTAATTTGACATCTGTGTACTATATTTTGTGCTCCCCACCCAAAGTCTAATTTCGTTCCATTACCATATATTTGACCCCCTCAACCCACTTCACCCTCCCCCATGCTCTTTCTACCCTGGTAATCACCATTCTGTTGTCTGTATCTATGAGTTTGGCTTGGTTTTGTTAGTCTGTTCCTTTTTGTTTTGTATTCTAGGTATAAGCGAAATAATAAGTTTTCGTCCTTTCCCTCTGCCTTATTTCACTTAACATAATACTGTCAAAATCCATATGTTATCACAAATGGCAATATTTCATCTTTTTTATGTTTGAGTAGTATCCCATTGTATATATGTCCCACATCTTTTTTATTGATTCATCCCTCAGTGGACACTTAGAGTGTTTTCCATGTCTTGGCTACTGAAAATAATGCTGCAATGTGCAAAAAAATAATATAAATGGAGCCACTTCAAAATAATATAAGTTGAGCCTGAACTGCCATTCCAGAGGTACATCTTACGCCTCAAGCCTTTGGAATGTTAAACAGGGCAAATTAACCTTTGGACTGGGCCTAAAGCAACATTGCAGTCCTAAAGAACTTTTTGCAAAGATAACAAGAAAGGAGGTATTCTGTTTGCTGGACTGTTGACTATGGACTGAAAATTAACAGCACTGTTTAGAATTAGCCTCACCATGTTAGTTTATCTGCACCAATAGAGATGTCTTCCTTCTATTGATATAATTTTCCCCTTCCCTTTCTCATAAATACCCCTTGCCTTTGTCACTTTGTGTTCTAATCAGAACATTATTTAAAGAAGGAGGAGGAGGAGGAATAATAATAATAATAATAATATCTGGGCTTCTGCCTGAATCAATGCTTCCCAATAGCAATTCTTTTTTTTATCTCAATAAACACTTATTGCCTCTTCACTTTGGCCTTTTATTTTTAGGTTGTGTTTTCATTATTAAAAGTTTTTTTAATACCCTTTCCCCCAATTTTTTCTCATTTTTCTGAACTGAGCATGTGTTTCTTTTGTAATAAGAAAAAATATTAATTTTGGCCCGGCCAGGCGTGGCTCAGCGGTTGAGCATCGACCTAGGATCCAGGTGATCGGGGTCGATTCTTGGTCAGGGCACATGCCCAGGTTGCGGGCTCCATCCCCAGTTGGGGGCCTGCAGGAGGCAGCCGATCAATGACTCTCTCATCATTGATGTTTCTATCTCGCCCTCTCCTTTCCTCTCTCTGAAATCAATAAAGATATATATATTTTTTAAATTAATTTTGGAGGAAATGTAATTCATTTCCTCTGGTGGTATCAATCTTTTCACCTTCCTTTGTTTCTGAAGCTTAGTTACCTCCATTACATCTGCTTCCATGATGACTTGCTTTCTACTCTGTCTACCTCATGGATGAAAAGGGGCCACATGCTAACCTGAAAGCTCAGGGAGGGTCTGTGTGGCGGCCTTACAAACTCAGAGACCTAAAGTAACTACAAAGGATGGTCTGAAATTAAAACGTTTTAACTAAAAGCAGTTTATGGTGGGTAGTCATGTCCTAGGCCAGCATCCTCCCTGACAAAGGTCAACCTTTACCTTAATGAGCCTGTCTATTGTCTTTTTGCATCCACAATAACATGTCTTTGGAATGTCATAGTAATTTTCCTTTTCCGGACCCCTCAAAGCACAGGCACTGTTCTGCTGAGACCACAAATCCCCTTTGTTACCGAGTTAATTAATTGTTGACTGTTAACTATCCTACACCCACCTTTGTAAAAGAAGTATGTATCTATCATTTTACTTTATCCAATCTCAGAGGTTTCTCTGCTTCGCCTTCTCCTGCCTCCCTAATCTATCACTAGTGGGTTTCGTGTAACCTACATATGTCTCCTCTTTTCATTGTAATGTATAAAATAAGATGCAAAACTGCCTTTCTCCGGAGCATTATCTCAATCGGTTGAGATTTTGATTCCTGGCAATTGTCGACAGTTTGGCTCAAATAAACCCACAGAACTTCTCTACAGATTTGCATGTTTCTTATGTTGACCTCACTGGACTGCTCACTGTTCTAGGATGGGGTTCATGCCTGATTCATCTCCATGTAACCTGTGCCTAGCACAACTCTTAATGCAGAAGCCATCCATAAAAGCTGACTAGCGGAAGGAAGGAAAGAAGGAATGACCAGTATCCAGACCCTGACTCTTCAATG